CGAAGTGAGGCCTAATGCCCAGAAAAGCTTCGCAGGTATGAACAAAATTGGCGATATGCACTATAGAGTTTGGATTCAGATGATGCAAGCTAATTCCATAGAAGTTCAGAATTCCCCGAAAGAATCTTGAGGTTGGAAGAGAAAATCCGCCATAGAAGAAGTGAGAGTACCACAATCTCGTGTGTGTCGGGGGTCGGGAATGCTTCGCCGAACGCTGGCCGCCACCCGATGATTTCCTTCGTCAGAAGAACGCCGTGCGCCACCATTTCTTTCAGATTCTCCTCCGTTACATCGGAGGGAGCCCACTGACTCTCGAAACTTTCTCTCTCCTCCGACATGGATGGGAGTTGAATTGTTAGATTTGGTCCAAGGTATAGCTGGAAGGGAATGAGAAATCGATGCGGTGGACACGCGGAGAAGTTTCGTGGGATTTTTTGAGAATGGATTGAAGCGGATTGATGAACCCTAGCTTCAACGGTGCGGTTTGCTACTGTAGCAAGGAGTGGGGAAATGGCGAGAGTCTCGGCGGGGAAGACGAAGCGACGCTTGGACTTTAGTGCTTTGTTAGGGTATTGGGAGTACTAATGGGCCTGGGCCTGTACAGTACTTCAGCCCAATATTATAATCAGCGTGGCCCGTTGTGATCCCTAGGGACTTAGGCGCTTTTTGCTTTGGCAATTTGTGCTCACAATGATGTGGCCCGATGTTGCTAAGATCCTTTTTAACGCGGTTTAGTAATTCTTTGGAATTATTATGATGCAAATAAAAAGGTGCCCGACAGAAAGGTGTTATACCATTTTTGTAAGCTTTATTAGGCTGCAAAAGCTGTTTGGGTTGATTTGAGATGACTGGTTATTAATAGTCATTCTCTTAGCATGTTATATGCTTATTTTGGTTATGGTAAGGGTCATAGCCTAGGCTATTAGACTCGTTGATTACCATGATTTTTATCATGTTTGGTGAATCCTTTTAAGAGTTTCTTACTCGGTGTCCTATCAAATATGTCTATTTTTGGACCTTTTGAGTGTTTATCACTCGGCCCTTTTTTTATCCTTGATATGTTCAAGTTGAGAAGAAGTCGGCTGGGTATTTTACTAAGTACCATGCATGCTTCGCTATAAAACCACTCCGTTCTTGACTACATATTTAGTTTTTCGACTAACCACATAGTCGGGGGGCTACACCTAATTAGGTGCATCTACTCGATGCACCATGTTTTATTTTCGCCCTTCACAGTCTTTGATTTTAGCACTCGACAGGCTGGAGCAGGATGAATTGAAGCACTCGGATTATTGTTTTTTGTTCTGAGATGGCTATTTCGTCGACTGCAAAGGTCTCGGGGGCTACTGTGGAGATTATGGATACCCCATATCTACATGACAGTTATAATTTAGTCGGGTATACGGTACCAGATATAGATAGAATATCTTTATGAGGACTCGGGTTAGTTTTTAACTTGTATGTCAAGAAAATACCTGAGATCCTAGTCGGTTACGATTGTATTTTATTTGTAATTACATACTCCGTTAGGGATATGGACTGTACTTTGTAAAGCGGATTCCTTCCCCTATATAAGGAGGGGTCCGTGTGCCTCTCGGGGCACGATTCTTTTTTTCCAGTTTATACAATCAATAACACACTCGGCGGAATCATCCCCGGACAGGAGTAGAGTATTACTTCTTGAATAAGAAGGCCTGAACCTGTATAAAATTCCTTGTCTCTTAACCCATCCACTTTACTAGCTTGATAGCCACCCTCTTTTATTATTGCCGAAATCTTGTTTCGACAAATGTTCTCCAGAGCTGCACTGCACAGCATTCATTGATAATACATCATCTTCTTAAATTAAGTATTTCTATTTTTTTCTGGAAAAATTAGAAGTGCATGTGTTCAGGATTTAAATGTGAACAGGTACGTAACAGGCGCATTTGAGAAGACAGGGAGTATTATACAATGTGATGAACAGATGGAAGAGGACTGGAAAAGTATGCCGATCGAGGAGATGCCAAAGCATATTAATTGCTGCGTCATCCTGCAAAATCAGCTCGCTTCCTGTGACCTGTAATAACTACACACCCTCTCTGTTTCATTAGTCTATAAAGTTAACTAAATTTGTAGAAAAATATGTAGCAATTCTTACAACACATAATTAGTTATATTAAAAATATATTTTAATAATATGTTTGGTTAGTATCGAAAATATTATTGACTTAGGGAAATAAGTTAAAAGAAATTATAATATAACTATAATATAAAATGGAGAGAGAAGAAAGAGATGGGAGCTAACAGGAGGCACATGCATGCATGTTTTAGAGTCAGACAAGAAGATTCATGGTCAACTGAAACTAACCGATGATGCAAGCTTAGAATATATTACTCCGTTTCAAAATGTCTGACACCGTTGACTTTTCAGCACATGTTTGACCGTTCGTCTTATTCAAAATAATTTGTGAAATATGTAAAACTATATGTATACATGAAAGTATATTTAACAATAAATCAAATGATATAAAAAGAATAAATAATTACTTAAATTTTTTAAATAAGACGAATGGTCAAACACGTAATAAAAAGTTAACGATGTCAAACATTTTAAAACGGAGGGAGTAATACAAAGTATTATCTGACTTCAGTAACGGAACTAGTAGTACTTAGCACGTATAGTACTAGTCTAATGGAGTAAGTAAACCAGGACGATGAAAAAGAGTCAAAAGAAAACAGCTTGCCCTGTGCTGTAATCTAACAAGGTAGTAGTACAGAGTTGAAGCAGCTAGCTAGCCAGATATATTTAAATTAATTCCACCGCAAAGTCGACTTAGTCCTTTACTTAATTAATTGTATCGTTGAGATTAGAAATATAACACACATACAGAGTGGTAGATTGTAGTACGAGTCAGTGTAATTAATAAGAAATTAAAAGGATGGAGCGAGAGTAGCAGGCCGGCACGCACTAAATTATAAAATTAAGTTCGTTAATTAAACTATATCTCTGTTGTAAAGAAAACAGAGAATAAGAAGAAAGAGAAAACTAGTGAGCAGCGTCGATCGATGAACGCGCGTGTAGACCACGCATGCATGCAGAAGAGAAGCTATCGCATATATATCGATTCGATCGGCATATGCTGTCCAAGAGTATTGGATACTACAATTCCAGTAACATATAGTTCCTCCGTCGCTAAAAATTTTACGCCTTTAATTATTTTTAAACATATTTAATCATTTGTCTTATTTAAAAAAATTAAACAATTATTAATTATTTTCCTATCATTTGATTCATCGTTAAATATACTACTACTACTCAAGTTTTTTAATAATATTTATAAAAGTTTTTTAATAAAACAAACGGTCAAACATATTTAAAAAAGTCTAACGGCGTCAAATATTTAGGTAAAGATGGTGTAGGATAGAGCTAATTTGGAGTTAATTGCAAACGTAAACAAGCACTAGTGCCTTGCTCACTGCGTCCCCAGATCGTGCAAATGCAGGTTTTCTTGTAGTCGTAGTAGTAACTTGGCGCATGGATGGATGCAGATCGATTCATCGGTGAGACGGCGTGACAGTTGCTTTTCATCTGCAGCTAGCTGGATCGAGTAGCGCGTGCGTTGGTAAGCAGTAGCAAATCGGCAATCGTGACGTCTGACTGATCGATCGATGGACTTGTTAACCATGCAAAAAAAAGTGGTATATGTGCGTTGCGTGTATTTGGAAGCCAATTGGTGGCAATTGCTAAACTAGCTAGCGCACGAGGAACTCGCGCGCGCGCCAACGATCGGAGCGCACCAACAAATGACTAATTGTTATTACTACTAGAAAAGATAATCATATATAGTTTGTTGAACTACTTATTAATTTGTATTTATGTATAATAAACAGATATTGCAAAAATAAAAGAGAGAGAAATCTATAAGTAAACAACAAATGAGTGGTCACATTGAAATAATACGTACCATCATCATTTGTCAACAAGTGATTTATCTAGGCGAGCACCGACGGCCGCCAGCCTGAACAGCTAGTAGTGTGTGTTGTGTGTAAACAAAAAACAAACAAAACGAGGACGCTGCAACCAAACTGAGGAGCGGGACCGGCCACCGGACCGACAACACCCTCACCCCGAAAAATATGGAGGCACCCTCACCTAATCAGGAGTATCGGGATACTATGAGATTTTTTTTTTTAAGTTTAATTAATATTTATATTAATTATATATAGCCATTCTATATAAAAAAAATATAGTAATGATATATATGATGCAAATAGAGACATTTATCAAGAGAAACCACATTGGTTTTGATATATTTAATTGATTTTCATATAAATTTGAGCATATTTAGTTACATTATTTTCAAACCATGTTATTTTAAATAATATTTTATAGTATCGTAGGGATCGTAGAATCGGGATACCACATAAGATTTTATAGGATTGTGTAGTAATGAATAGTAGGATCGAGATACTATGAAAATTAGGACACTATGTGGGATCGGTATCGTTTTAGCTTGATAGTATCATAAGATATTAGGATACGAATCGGTATACTGACAAGCTTGCCCTCACCAAAGCAAAGCAGCAACACGATTCGCATCGCATCTCATGCTCATGCTCATCGCACATTCGCATCTCTCATGCTGCCGATGGAGACGTGCAAATGGGAGGGCTTGGCTTCCACGCGCAGAAACACCGAGGCAAGGCTGCCTTGCACCCGATTCCATTCTTCTTGTGCTTCTGCGGGGAGGACGACCCCACCGACACCCTCCTCGCCGTCCGATCGCCCCACCGACGCCTCCATCATCCACCACTCTCTCTCTCTCTCTGGTCCCACCCACTCGCTCGCTCTCTGTGGGCCCCATCGTCGAAAAGTTCGCGCCGATGCAAATCTCGTCCCACACCTAGCCGGTAGGCACTAGCAAGGGCATGGTTGCAAATATCACAAAGTTGCTTCACATTTTTACTAACAAGTCAGGAAAAGGCGCGGCTTTAAATGGGAAAAAGGGGAGCAAGCAACGAGGACCAAAGAAGCGGGAAGTACAATACTCCTCTCTCTCTCTCTCTCTGTCGGTCTTCATCTTCCTCCTGCTTCTGCTCCTGCTCTTCTTTAAAAGCTTCCAATCCCCCCTTCTCCTTGTGTGTCGTGGCAAAGCCTCTTCTCTTCTCGTGCCTTCTAGGGTTTCCTCTTCCTCGCACCGCGCCGCCTCGCCTCTTCGTCCCCAGATTCAGATCTACTCCTACTCCTACTACCAAGGTGCGTAACTACGTAGTGCTATCTATGTATGCATTTTAATTAAATTACTAGATCCCCCATTCTCTTCTCCTGTTTCTTCGATCGACGCCCACGCCGCCGTGTTGCTCGATCTAGTTTGCCTGCGATTCTGTAGCCAAATTTGGTATCTGCACTACGTTTTCATATGGTTTCATACTATTCCATTCCATGCGTGTGTTAATTGCTCTGTTTTGAATGAATGCTAAGGTAATTGGTGAAATCTTTCGCACTTGTGCCGCAGACATGTTCCGCCAATCAAGGCCTCCTCATTTTTCATCCCTACCATGTCATATTCTGCCCCATGTTCACACTAATTGCTCATTTTATACCCATGGGGGAGAAATCGCTGTTTGGTGTAAACTGTCAGACTAATGTAGTTACCTGTTATACTGTAAATATATTTTACATTTCAATTGGTAACTCAAGAAGAAGTCAGCTTGGAATAGGACAAACAAATGGTCCACTATTTTTGCTCTCTAAAAGTCATTCAAACTAGGAGTACAGCCTAACTCGATGATGTCAAATCATACAACTCTGAAAGAGTCTGCTCTGGAAGAACCTTCTAATCTCACATTTAAACAACCACCTACTGTGCGCTCTTTTTCTACGATATTGCCATGCTGCATCAGGTTCATCATAACTTATGTTCCATTTCTTTTTTCTTCAAGGCTTTTTATAGTTTCTGTCTGATTTTCTACGATTGCTCTGGTCGAACCTATTCGTTTGGTAATGATGTGATTACGTCTGTCTAAATAGCTGGGATATTTATATCCATGGAATACAAAATATTGACAATGATTTCTAGTGTTGCCAATTCTTATTGATTTTTGGTGGGCCAATTGGGTCCTATGATCTCTTTTGTGCAGTTAATCATTTTTTACCTTCAAAATTTGACATTTTTTCAGCTTGTTCCTGGATTTCTGATTTCATTAACTGGACTTATATTGAAACGGAATTAATTACGAACCTTTGTACTCCATCACAGGTTGTTGCCATGGCTCCCGCTGTTGAAGCCGTGGAGAAGAAGACAGGCTCAGCCCCCGTCAAGGCCCCTGCTCTGAATGAAAGGATACTGTCATCTATGTCCCGGAGATCTATTGCAGCACATCCATGGCATGATCTTGAGATTGGTACATGACATTTCATCTTGACAAACCATCAATTTTCTATATTTCTCTCATAACTTACTTATAGGTTCCTGACTTCTTCCTGCAGGACCTGGTGCACCAACTATATTCAACTGCGTAAGGCCACCATAACAGATTCACATTTGTTTTTTCTCCCAGATTTAGTTTGATACATGTTCTTATTGGAAACTTATGTCAATAGCATAGCCCTTTTGAAGCGCCTCTCATTTTGAACTTTTAGAGTTAATGTGCTGGCTGGTATTTCACATTACACCAAGAATTTCTCGACCAAAAGAAAAAAGAAAAGAGAGGAAAAACTCTAACAAATTGTGTCTCTTTTCTGTCACTTGTCAGGTCATTGAGATTCCTAGGGGCAGCAAGGTTAAATATGAACTTGACAAGAAAACTGGACTGATAGTGGTAAAACAAGGCGATTCAATTGATTCATCATTTTTTTTAGTGAAACCATATTTTTCCAGTGACTCTAAAATGTTTTGTACATCATTTGGTTGTATGCACATGTAAAGGTGGACCGTGTGCTCTATTCATCAGTTGTGTACCCTCACAACTATGGATTCATTCCTCGCACGCTGTGTGAAGACAGTGATCCGTTGGATGTGCTGGTTATAATGCAGGTATGTCTTTGTATTTTAGTTGGTACTAGAATCCTATTGCTTGTACTCTTAAGAAAAACAGTGCACAAGTTTCTTTTCCCTTCAGCCATTATGTAAATTCTGGTTTACTTTTCTTGATATAGCCATGTGAAATCATGGGCTTTGGCTTACCTCTTGTCCAATAATAGTATCATTCTATTAGGTTATATTCACATCTCACTCCTTTTGTTTGGGGAACCATATTAAATTCTAATTTTTGTTCAAACAGGAGCCCGTTATACCAGGATGCTTCCTACGAGCAAAGGCCATTGGTCTCATGCCTATGATTGACCAGGTTTGGCTTCATTCCAACATTTACAAAGTCCAGCGAAATGCTATTCTGATCCCCATGTTTCTATTCTGACCCCATGTTTGTTTGAACAGGGAGAGGCAGATGACAAGATTATTGCCGTTTGTGCTGATGATCCTGAGTACAAGCATTACAATGATATCAAGGAGCTCCCACCTCACCGCTTGGCTGAAATCAGGCGCTTTTTTGAGGACTGTATCCTTTTTTATCAACTTAATATCAAGTTCTGCATTCTAAATGAATTCTAGGCAATAACTCATGTCCTAACCTTGAACTCCACCAATATGTTGTTCCCATATGTGCATTTTCTGAAAGCCATTTGGCACTATTTTATATCTCAACTGTCTTGTATCATATGCACACATGGTCAACCACACACCAACTTAAATACTCTTGGGAGTCCCAGGATCATGCTAATTTCAAAACACTTGTCACCTCTTAGACCGAATGGTTTCTTTAACCGAGACATTCAGACAAGAAGAATGAGAACAAGGAGGTTGCTGTCAATGACTTCCTGCCTGCAAGTGCTGCTTATGAGGCCATAAAGCACTCCATGTGAGTACTTCACTTGCATAAGTACTACAACATACTGTACATGTTTGTGTAAAATCACATCAAGCTGACTCTTAACCATGTTGATGTTGCCATTCAGGGATCTCTATGCTACTTACATCGTGGAGGGCTTGAGGAGGTAGACTTGTGCCGCTTCCTGGACCGAGAGGATGGATGTTGACGAAAATTGTGGAGATATTATCACCTTATGAACAAATACTATTATTTTGTTGGTGTGTGATATACACCGGTATTATTCACATTTCAAGTAGTAACAGCACAAGTAGAAACTACTAGTAGCACAACAAAGAGTGATATTCCTTTTATGGCCCTCGGTGCCACTACGATATGGAGTATTGGTGAATGATGATACTTTATGCTGATTCTATTGATATGGTTCGAGCAAAGATTTGCATATTTTTTTCATTTATTATCAAGTACTACATCTGTTTCAGGTTATAAAACTTTCTAGCATTGCCCACATCCATATATATGTCTAGATTCATTAACATATATATGGATGTGGGCAATGTTAGAAAGTCTTATAACCTAAAACGGAGGAAGTAATTTGTTATTTATAGTTATTACAAATGTGCCTGGTCATATGTGAACCGAAGGAAGAAACAGCAAAACTTGGACCCATTTGATTGCATGCATGTATGGAACAGTTTATGATTTGTTCACTTCATTGCCAAAATAAACCTTACCATTTGTTGGTAAAGCAAAAGTGGCAATGCCAAATTTTGATACTTACCAAGTGTTGATGAAGTTTTGTGAGTGGAAGACTCTACAATTATCAAATTCTGTTTAAGTTTGGAATAGTAAAAACTTGTTTAGTTTGTTACTCTACAAAAAAAAAGACTAAAATTAGGTAAAGTTCATTTTGGAATGAACAAGTCCTCAATTCCCAAAATGATGGGAAATCTCATAGTATCCCAGAAGGGCACATCAAAGTAACTGCGGTAGCAATATCATCAAGAGTTAATGCTTTTAGATCAGATTCACAATCAGGCTATTAAACTTACTGAACACAAACAAATTTCAATTGAGAAACCACATATTGAAGCACATGGGATCCAGAAGACAAAGCGAGACACTTCATCTTCTCATTAGAACTACCCTAGTGTCTTGCAAGCTAAAATCGAAAACATCCAGTTAAATGCCTAGTGATACGAACTAATCTCGAATCGAACAAACTAAGTACTGCATATACAGTGACCAATGAATGGAAGGACATGAAGCTAGGAGCGCGCCTGCTTCTTGGGGGACTTGGCGGCTTTGTCCTTGGACGCCTTGGCCGGCTTGTCGGCCTTCTCCGCGGTCTTCTTCGGGAGCAGCACCGGGTTGATGTTCGGCAGCACGCCGCCGTGCGCGATGGTGACCCCGGCGAGCAGCTTCCCGAGCTCCTCGTCGTTGCGGATCGCCAGCAGCACGTGCCTCGGGATGATCCGGTTCTTCTTGTTGTCCCGCGCCGCGTTCCCGGCGAGCTCCAGCACCTGCATCAACAACACGATCCCGGTCAACCATGCTGGGTTTGGAAGGATTTGGGAGAGGAAGGGATAAACAGTGGCTTGCCTCTGCGGCGAGGTACTCGAGGACGGCGGCGAGGTAGACGGGGGCGCCGGTGCCGACGCGCTGGGCGTAGCGGCCCTTCTTGAGGTAGCGGCCGATGCGGCCGACGGGGAACTGGAGCCCGGCCTTGACGGAGCGCGACACCGGCTTCTTCTTCGGCCCGCCCAGCTTCCGCCCCACCGCCTTCTTCGCCGCCTTGCCGCCGACGCCGACGTCCATCTCCGGGAAACGTGAGGGTGAAATGGAGCGGAATTCGGGGGGGATTTGAAGGGATTTCCGGCGCCGATTTGGATTTAGGATTTTGAATCTGGCGCTTGGTGGTTTTTTATATAGGCGCGGGGGTTTGGCGATCCGCGTGATGTGGGGTGCGCGCCGTCGGATCGAGATGGGAGGGAACGGTGGGGATTCGTTTTGGGGGGGCGATCCGTGGGAGCACGCGACGGACCAATCAGGTGCGCCTGTTTCGTGTTGGTGTCTCAAAATGGACCCTCGGTGTTGGTTGGGCCATGCGACTGAATTAGGAATAAGTTCACCGGAGGACCCTCAATTTAACAGCGAGATTTTTTGAGGCCTTCAACCATAAAATCAGAAATGTTCACCCCTAAACTCATTCAAACCGTTCAAAGAAGGTCCCATGACAATATTTGCGCCCGGTTTTGCTGACGTGGCATCCTAGTCAGCAAAAAATATAAAAAAAATATGTAGGGCCTACATGTAAGTGAGAGAAAATGGTGTAGGCCCCACATCTCTCCTTTCTTTTCTTTTTCTCTTCTCTTCTCTCCTCCTCTCAAGCAGGCAAGGCGGCCAGCGGCGGAGCAGGGGCGGCGGCGGCGGGAGAGGGGGAGAGAGACGGCTGGCACGATGGCGAGCTCAGCGGCGGAGAGTAGCGGTGGTTGGGGAGAGGAGCGGCAGGAAAGGGGGCGCCGGCAGTAGCAGTTGGTGTCGGCGGCGGCGGCGGCCGGCGGCGAGAAGAGTGTGCAGCCGCTGCGGGGGGCAGTCGAACGACCACCGCGACGACCTTGCCCGGGGTATCTACTGCGCTGTAGGATTGAGATGTCGACTAGAGGGGGGTAAATAGGCGATTTAAAACTAAATGACACCTAATCAAAACTAACCTAAGTTGCTAGGCTTAGTGAGGGTGAACTCTAACTAAGCAACTGAGTTATGTTTTGCAAACCTAGAGTGATAGTGGCTCAACTATATCTCTAGGAAAGTAAATCACACTCCTATGTCAATGTTTAGCAATCCTAGGGTGATACGATCTCAAGTATGTCTCTAGAAATGTAAATTGCACAAATGTAAATGCGACAATCAAATGAGACAAGGAGACAAGAGATTTTTCACCGAGGTTCGAAAACTCGTCGGTTTCCTACTCCCCGTTGAGGCGAGCCCAACTCCACCGCTCAACCACGAAGCCACCGCACGCCCCCTTCGTCAAGGGGTGGGCAAGGCGGGAGCTGGCCCACGGAGAGGACTACCCAAGCCTCGATCACTAGGGTTGTTCTTCCTTCACTCCGAAGGTGGTGAACTCCAAACCACTCACAAACCGGCGCCGCGCCTCCTCCACAATCTTCTCGGAGAGGTCACCAAGCAACTCCTCCACAAGCCGTCTAGGAGACGGCAACCTCCAAGAGTAACAAGCAATGACCCGACGTGGAGATGATCAATCAAGTGCCACACTAGCTCTACAAATGGAAGCAATGCACTTGACTCTTGGCTAACTAACCCACTAACACACTAGATGGATGAACACAAAGCTCAAGTGGGTGTGAGAAAGGTGCAAGGGGTGTATGCAATTGAATTGGGTGCCAAGAGAGAACCCTTGCTGCTGGAGGGGGAGTATTTATACTCCCACCAACCAAAACTAGCTGTTGGGGGCGAAATCCTCCAACTTTGTGCTCTGCCGGTCTGACCGGAGGTATGCGGCCGGTCAGACCGTGCTACTCTGCAACGGCTAGAAAACTAGCCGTTGTAGTGCTGTCAGAGGGCCCCATCGGCCTGGCCGGTCAGACCGGCGTTGAGTGGGCGGTCAGACCGGCCTTGGCTCGGTCAGACCGCCATCGGCTCGGTCTGACCGAATACGGCTCCGCCGGCTCTGTATCGGCCACCCCGAGCAGCACCATCCCGGCCTCCAGGGGGCCGGTCTGACCGCGCATGTGCCGCCGGTCAGACCGGCCTTATGCGCCGGTCAGACCGCCGTCTTGCGGCCGGTCAGACCGGCCAGGGCATGCCGGTCAGACCGCCACTATGTGGCCAGTCTGACTGCCCCTGGTCACGCCGAAACCAGTGAAATCCCAAGTGATTGTGTGTGTGATGAAAAACGAGCACAAGTCTAAATGCACAATGACCTAATGTGGCAATTAAAATCATCTCTTTGCTAGGTCATTACCCCTCTTAATAGTACGGCGAAACTAAAAATAAACTAGCAAATTTGATCGCCCTACACCTCGATCAATTCTACATTAAAGCACTAGTTTTACTGTCTTCTTTCTCTTTGCTTTGCGCCGTCAATTTTAATCCATCGATAGTCATCCATGTGCACACATGACGTGGACCTAACTTAAAATATTATCTCAATAGCAACGGTTAGTCCACAATTAGCGTTTGTCATTAATTACCAAAATTAACAACGGGGGACTTGATGCTTCAATCTTCCCCTTTTTGGTAATTGATGACAAACACCACAAATATATATATAATCAAACATAGATCACATGGACATATATTGCAATGGAAATCAAAAGCTCCCCCTAAACATATGCATATTAATCATTGACAACAAATATGGAGCCAATGCACATTTCAATTTCACATTCCAATAAGCACAAACACATAAGCAATATTTCAATGTGAACTTCAAGAAATATTCATTCATGAGCATAAGATGGTCACATATATAGCAATATCGCATACACCATCCATCATCGCACAAGTTCACATCACTTAACCAATCAAATCACAAAAGTCACAAATCATCCTAAAAGGGCTCACAAATAAACATAGGCTATTACAAGACCACGAAGGGTCCAAATGACATAGAGTTTAACAAAACGACAAAGAACACACAATATAGAGTAATAGCCCATACCCATACAAAATATAGCCCAAAACACCTTAGCCTATTAGAAATGAGGGCACTATCCTCACTACTACTAGTCCCAACCCACAAAACATAAATCACTCTTTTCTCCCCCTTTTGGCATCAAGCACCAAAAAGGTCTTCACTCTTGTGGAGGAGAAGGAGTACGTGCCGAAGTGGAAGGATGAGGAGCATCACGACGACGATGATACACAAATGCTTGGGAGCTCTCCAACATTTGGACTCGAGAATCCAATGTACCCACTCTAGTGTGCAATCTCCCCACGGAAGCATTCAAGTCTCCAACATCCGTGTGCAAGCCACGAACATCCTCATGTAAAGCTTCATGCCTGGTAGACAAGCGTTGAATGCTTTCACTTAGGGTATTAATAGCCCCAAGTACCGGGTTGAAGTATTCGTTGGGTTGCATTCCAAAATAAGCATACTGTGGATGGAAGAAAGCATTTGGATCATGCCCAAGAGGAGGAGGAGGTGCTGAGCTTGAGCTAGCTCCAGGATGAGAGGAGGACGCCGCCCTAGGAGCACGGGGAGCTCCAAGCTGAAGGCGGGGCTTGTACTGCTTGTGCTTCTTCAAATTTTGCCCAGCAGCCCCAAGCTTGTCTTGAATCAACCTCATGATGTAAGGGGCATAATAGATTCCCTGAGTAAAGGTCTCCTTGGAGATGGCAATCTCTTGCATCATGAGAGACACAATATCGAACTGACGGCCCTGAATGATGGCATCGATGACGTGCCAAGCCACCCCCCTAATATCATCATTGTTATCAAGGCGAGGGAGGATGGTAGCTCTCACAATCCTGTTAACCACACTGGGGATAGTCCTCAGACCGGCAACCTTCCCATGTGTGTACCGCACTCCATCTTCATAAAACTGAGATAGATAGTCTATGGAGAGCGGATTATGGGTGTGCTCCTCATGCAAGTCATTTCCAAAGTCCAAGCGAATATTGAGGAGCCGCCGGAATTGCCTCCTGGAGATAGAACACTGAAGGGTGTCGGACATCCACTTCATCTCACTATAGTCTCAGCCACCCACACTGTAGCATAGAACTGCCGGATCAAATCTTCATTGTAGTCTTGTTTGAGAGTCACAATTCGGTCAATGCCAACAGTCTTGAAGAGATCCTGCAAGCATTCAAACTCTAGAGTCTCATTGATGTCTCTCCAAGAAATCCACTTATGCTCTGCAAAAGCTTTCCCTGCATAAACCTGCTCATACACACTCTTCTAGAAAGCGGTGTGAAAACGGGGATCCGGGGTGTCCCGAGGACTAAAAAACTGATCATGGTGCCTCAAGATGGTGTACTGCGATAGATTCCTCATGTTCACAACAAACTGGATGGAGAGATCAATGTGCATATCATCACTTCCTTCATCCTCATCCTCTCCACTTCCACTGTCATCATCTCCACTAGCCTCCTCACTAGCCCCTTCAACATTGGCCTCAACCTCTTCATCACTTTGAGCGTACTCATCTCCGCTCGATTCCTCAGGCTCACTCACGGGATCCGGAGTGGGTGCACGACGACCATGGCGAGTGCGGGGAGGCATCACTGTCAAAGAGCAAAGGATGATAGATATTAGCAATAATTCTAGAAACAATTTGGAGAGGTGAAAATTTGCCTATATCCTATGGAGGGGTGGTCAGACCACAGCCAGTAGGACGGTCAGACCGACAGCATCAGGCCGGTCAGACCACCCATGGGGTCGGTCAGACCAACGGCATCAGGCCGGCCAGACCGCCCGCTGGTGGCCGGTCAGACCGACGGCTGCCGGCCGGTCAGACCGGGCGCACACACCGGTCAGACCGGTGGCTGACCCACGGTCAGACTGCCTGTGGCTCTGGGCAGACCTCCTCCCACAAGTTCAAGCATCCAAAAATTTTCACATCTTCACATTTGAGTCTAAAAATTGCTAGAACAATATAGCTCAAGATTGGAACTAGAACATCAAATGGTATGGCCTAGTTCATCAAGATTGGAATAACTACCCATAGCCCTAGGGTGAAATAGATTGATTTGAGAGAATGCACAAGAGAGAGAGTGATTTACCGGTTGAAGGGGATGAATCACACCAAGAAACTACCCTCTACTGGTGCAAATCAAAGAACACCTCGTGCTTCACCTAGGGTTCCATGCCATGGATCAAAAACTCAACAAAAACACGAACTAATCCATGGAATAGAGAGAGGAAGCGGA